ACACGTACATCCCAAATCTACGTTCCCAACCAATATTCTGTTGGCGGTTGTAAATTCAAATTGGTTACGAAAGTGGTCTTGGGTGTACACATAATGTGGGGACTAAATTTAAACAAATGCCTATGTGGAAAATTACCTGTAAGATATTTTAGCCAAATCAATTGATGAATGTGGTCAAGACTAAGATGAACCTACTACGAAAATTGAAGAGGCTTTCTACAAAAAAAAAATGAAAAAGTGGTCAAGACCCAGAATATACCAAATCGCGATGGTGATACCAAAACGGGATCATTTTTTTTGCAAAGATGGTTTTTCTCAAATTACCATCAAATTAGAATAAAAAATATGGTTAAAATGTAAAATATACTTGAAATCGGTGGTACCCTTATACGGGGACTATGACCTATATCATTACCTGCAAAAGCGATTTAAGATATCTTAAAAGTTTAGGAAGAATCTCTGGAAGGATATACACCTAAGTCTGTTTTTACACGATCTTTTTGTACACGGTTTTGATATAGCACGGTTTGAAAATTGAATATTTTTAATTTTTTACACGATTTTATTCAATTTAGCACGATTTCAATTAAATTTAATTTTTGCGAAGTATGTTCATATTACAAAAAAATATTTATAAAAAAAAAGTCTGAAACCATCGATAGTATCGATAGTTATTCTATTTTATTTTATTTTTTACCTTAAAAATTGAATAATCTATTCTTTTCGTACACAACATAGTTTTTTAGTTCCTGAACTTGCCATACATTTACTTTTTAGATTAGAGTGCATATCTTTTTATCATTAATTACTATGCTTGTGAAAATAAGCATTATATATTTGATTGAAAAAAATAAACATGAATTCTTGTTCTTAAAAATTCTTGTTTTTCACTGATTTTAATAGGTTTTAGAGATTATGAACAAATCACCCATTTTTGTATAAGATCAATGTCTCTTTTTACGCGGTTTTTTTTACACGGCTTCTTCTGGAACCAATCTACCGTGTAAAAACAGACTTAGGTGTAAATCCTTTTATTACTTACTTACTTACTTTACATTCGGTATGTCACAGATTGCAGTCCCAATGAATTTTGCATTTTGAGTTCTCATTGGACGGATTATTGTCATATGAAAGAAGTAGGTCCACGTTTTGAAATGAGCCCCATAACGCTTTGTCGGTCATTTTTGTGTGCTTGAATGTGTTTGCATCTTCCAGCTGAAGCACGATTTATGTCCTGGAGTTTAAAGCTATATGCCAAATTTAGAGAATTAGACGCACTTGAATTTTAATATCTTTCATTCAGAATTCAAAACAATATAAAATGTAAACTTCAATATTGTATGCCAAATTGAAAATATTTCATGTCAAAAAGATTCTTTCATTCATATTTTTATTGGCATATTTTCACGCAACTTTTTTTGCCAAGATACCATTCCGAAATTGTATGAATTGTCAAAATATGTCAAGTCGTTCTTGAGTTATAAGCGTAGTAAATAACATAACATTCTTTTATATGGTAAAAAAAATTATTTTGTTCACAAAAAACAATTGAATTGTACGTTATATAGAATTGACAAAAAAGAAAAATAAATTGAGATAGATCTTCAAATTCATCGCTGATCTTTTACAGCAAATGTTTAAAAGTGCTAACGAGATTTGTCAATAGAATGCACTATTATTTTGAAATGCGATTCCATAGAAAAAAATCTCTATTTTTCCCGATTTTAGAATTTTAGCAGTGAGATACTCCACTTTTTCTTTTAACTTTGGTGTGTCCATGTTAAATTACTTCGACATCATCTATTCACTTTCGGTTATATACTTCAATGTAACCCCCTTGCAATTTCAGTTCTCGAGAAATTGAGTCAATTAAATTAAAGTAATCAAATTGAAAAACCCGTTCGTACATAAATAAACAAATATTTGGTCGCTTTATACTCCCCAAAGAGACTAAACATCACATTAGAATTAAAAAAAAATAGTAAGACAAAAAAAAAAATCATGTAAAATAAAACATTACAATTGTACATTTCAAAAGTCATAAGAATTTTTTTTCAAATTTCACATTTTTACCCGATATTTTTGGATTTTATCCTTTTCTGTCAATATACAATGGTTAAAATCGGACCATTCAAAATCAATTTTGAATGTAAAATGAAGAAACTTAAATATGATGTTAACTGTGATCTTTCCTGACTAGAATTGGCATCTACCTTTGTAACCCATGGATTCACACTGTGTTTCAGCTGGAAGATGCGAATACATACATACAAAAATGACCGACACAGATGTATGGAGCTCACATCCAAACGTGGACCTACTTCATTCATATGGCAATAATCCACCAAATGTGAAATGCCTAATATAAAGAGGCATTGCACTATGCGGTCTTTAATAATTTAATTAAATGGCTGCCTCGATTTGCCATGCAATAGCCTACACTATCAGATACAAAAATGTTATTAATGGCTTCACGAATACTTATTTCACATTTTATGGGCATTTCGTTTTTTGACCCATTTTTGGGGAGAAACCAGGACCTAGGTCCATAGGTCACAGGTCCATATCTTAAAATCTACCAAATAATAAAGTTTTAAAGATTGATAGCTTATTCAATTCACCCAGTTGAAATATTTTCCAATTACAAACATTCAAACTTTGAATAGGAGGGAATATTAATTATGTCATTCCGTTTGTAACATCCATAAATATTCGTCGTAGACCCCATAAAGTATATATATTCTATTCAGCATAAAATTCTAAGTTGATTTAACGATGTCCGTCTGTCTGTTGAAATCACGATACAGCCCACATTATTTGACGTAGAAATTTTGCAGAACAATTTGTATTGTGTCTATGATGGTTGGTACTGAAAATAACATACATCGGTCCACTTTTGGTATAGCCGCCATATAAAGGTACCTCCTGATATTCGGTATTCTGATGATTGTTGCCACATTTTTCCACGGATTTGCCTAAAAATTGGTATATGTAGGTCATAGTGGTTTCTAGCTCCAGTGGCGATAAAAAATATATAGGGCACCGTTTTTGTATACCTCCTGAAATTCAGTATTTTGATGATTCTTGCCACATTTTTCCACGGATTTGTCTAAAAATTGGTATTTGTCCAGCTCCGGTGGCGAAACATTGTATATATAGGTTTACGTTTTTGTGTAGCCGCCATGTAACGGTACCTCTCAATATAAGGTATTTTGTTGATTTTTGCCACATTTTTCCACGGATTTGTCTAAAAATTGGTATATGTGGGTCATAATGGTTTCTAACTCCGGTGGCGAAACAAAGTATATATAGGTCCACGTTTTTGTATAGCCCCCATATAACCGTACCTCCGATATTCGGTATTCTTATTATTTTTATACCCCCCACCATAGTATGGAGGGTGTATTAAGTTTGTCATTCCGTTTGTAACACCTCGAAATATACATTTTAGACCCCACAAATATTCTTGATAAGCATAAAATTTTACGACGATTTAGCGATGTCCGTCCGTCTGTGGAAATCACTCTAGCTTCCGAATGAATTGAAGTAGATTGATAACATTTTACTCAAATGTATATTATACCTGCAGGACTTTTTGTATTGAAAATGGGCCATGTAGGTCCACGTTTTGGTACAGCCCCCATATAACGGTACCTCCCGATATTCGGTACTTTGATGATTTTACCGAAATTATTCACCGGAATTGTTTCAAATTTGGTGTTTAAAGTCCGTAATGGATACTACAGCGTATGGCAGAAAATTGTCTATGCAGGTCCACGTCTTCGTATAGCCCCCATTTAACGGTACCTCCCGATATTCGGTATTTTGATGATTTTAGCTACATTATTTACCGATTTCTTTTGCTAAGTTTCACATTTGAATTTTGTAATGGCTTATGACAAAAGTTACCTAAGCAGGTCCATTTCGTCGTTTTGACCCTAATATAACAGTTACATTCGGTATTTCTAAGATTTTAACAGAATTGTTAACGGATTTTATTGTTTTTGAGAATTGCCAAATTCTTTTCAAATGGCGGAGGGTATTTAAAGTTCGACCCGACCGAACTTTCAGCATTTTTACTTGTTATAATGATCATGGGTTCTAGCTCCGGTGGCAGAACACTGAATATTTGGGTCCTCATTTTCCTATGGCGTACATATCTCGATACCCACCGATATTTGGTATTTTGATAATCCTAGTCACATTTACCCACGAAATTGATTCAAATGTGGTATTTAAGAAGATTTGGTGATGACAATCCTTGAAGTATAAAATTGCCTGTATAAGATCCCGTCTTGGTATGGTCCCATATAATGGCCTCAACCACTTAATGATTTTTTGAAAAGTTTATCAGCATTAATTTTTGAATTTAGATACTTTTATAAACAATTGTTTTCTTTACCGAAAGGTGGAGGGTATATTGGCCAGGCCGAACTTAATGTTTTTTACTTGTTATATACTTCATTTATATTTTCAAAATACAAAAATGCTGAAAATGTTGCATTTATTGACTAAATAACATTGACATATTTTATACCCGTGTTTTTACCCAATTTACCGGATATTCACCCATTTCGGGTATTCTATAAGCTTTCACCTCCTTTAAATGCGGCTTTGAATGCACAGTACTCTGGATAACAAAAAAAAAAAAAAATAAAAAATGTTTCCACGGAAGAATTGTGTATTGCTTTAAATATTATACTTTTTATAATATCTGTGGCATTCCTTTCACAATTTTCTGCTTTAAAAAAATAAATATTCTTATTGGGTTTTTTCAGTGATAAGTTAAATAAGGAGCTTTCAATATATCTAACAGAAATTTTGAACAGTACTATATTCTAAATGATCTTTTTTGACTGACAGATCGGCAATTTATTATGTTCTTAATTCTTCAAATATCTGACAAACGCTATTTATATAATCGTTCATTGTCTATTGGCATTATTTCAGAAACTAGTAACCTTATACAATTCTTTGAAAATAGTGATTATCGTGTAGGGTATACCAACGCCTTCATAGCAACAAAGATGGTTGCTCAAAATAATTAAAACACGAAAAAAATATAATTAAGTGATCCGCATGTAATCATAAGATTATCAATATGATTATGCTCATATGATGGTATGCGTGTGTGTGTGTGTGTTATTAGCCCCTTCGCATGAATGGTAATTTCCGAAGATTCCTACTGCCGGCAGCGGTCTAAGCTGTATGGGTGAAATGACGAAAAGAAGATGAAACAAAATAGGAAAACAATACGCAAAGGTAGTAGAGAAATCTTAAATCTTTATCATGTAAGCAGCAATGGCCGGTAACGAAAGAGATCTTTAGATCTCTTTAATAAAGTACAGTGAAGGTCCGAAACCATAGCAATTGTTAATTTTTTTGTTGGGTGTCTGTCTGCTGCGAGATTGACGATGATGAATTTCAACTTCTTTTGGGATGAATATAAATAGTTTGTTTGGCCGTTGTAAGATCAGTACAAGCTCAACAGGAAAGCGTAAAACAACAGTTTTAAAGAAACAACAGCTTCAACTGCTATTTTTGTAAATCTCAAGCCTAGAAATGCGTGGATTCATTGTAAGGATCAACATTGAATTCCATTTGGATACAAAATAATACTCATTGGTGTTTTTATTATTATTAGGTTATGTGTTTGTGTGCCGTTGCCTTGGCCGCTCCTCAGGGTTACAACTATAACGCCCAAGGTGCTGGCGGTAGCGCTGTATTCCAGCAACATGGTAATTTCGGTTCAAACTTTGGAGGCTCTGCTGTTGGCTCCTCCTCCGCTGGTTTCTTCCAAGGTGGCCATGCTGTGGCCCAGCAATCTCAATCCTTTGGTGGTCATCAGCAAGTACAACAACATCACCAACAACAGCCACAGGCTATTGTATCGAAACGTTTCTTCATCCACTCTGCTCCCGAGGATGTTGAAGAAGACCAGCAAGAGAAGCACATCACCGTTGGTGTACCCAAAAAGAACTACAACGTAGTGTTCATTAAATCACCATCCAAATCCAGCAAGAAGACTTCCATTAAGATTAGTCCCGCTCCAACTGAAGAGAAGACCGTCATTTATGTGCTCAACAAGAAAACCGATGCCTCCGATGTTCAAGCCGAAGTTGTCGAACATCCCACCACAACAGCCAAACCAGAGGTATTCTTCATCAAATACAAGACCAATGAGGAAGCTGCCCATGCCCAGGAACAAATTCAGGCTCAATATGATGCTTTGGGTGGTAGCTCTCAGGTCAGTGATGAAGGTGTGGCCCCCGTTACCTCTGTCATTGGTGCCTTGGGCAATGCTGCTGCCGCTGCTGGTGGTGATATTAATGCCGGTGCACATGCTGGTGGCGTTGCCCTTGGCGGTGTTCAGTCAGCTGGAGGCAACTTTGCTGGTGTTTCTGCTGGTCATGCTGGTGTCCAACAACAAACAAATGGCAATGCCTATTTACCACCAAATTTCTACTAAATTTCAAATTTAGTTAGTTGAATTGTTGTAGTCTGTTTTTTGTTAATTCTACGACTACATGTTGTTACTGTTGTTTTTATTATTTTGTTAATAGTGCCTGTTTAGAAAAAAATCAAATATTTTTTGTTAAAAATACATCAAGCAATTTAATTTTGAAAAAATAACGTTGTTTTATTAATTTCATTAATTGGCTATAATACACATAATTATAGAAAATGATCTTGACCTATTAATTCAACTTTTGATTTCCCCATAACGTTTGGATAATTCATAGCATATTATTTCATTTGATAATACATAATAAGGTATTATAACTGAAATTACAATAAATTTGATTGGTCCAATTTGAAAATTCGTTGCATATCAAGGCATTTATTTGTTTGACTGATAAATTGTTGCCAGATTATATAATAAGCTAACAATAATTAAAAAATATTATATATCGACTTGAAAATATCTGCAATTTTGTTGAATAAAATTTTCACCAGAATGTTATTGAATACTATTTTTGTAAAATAGGAAAATATTGGCTATCATTTATGAATTTACTATGTTCTTGTTGTAATAACAATCAACGAAACGGACATTCCATCATGCGTTTTTAAAAAGGTCTTAACCCCCTCGGCCTTATACCCCCATTTCAAATATGTGATTTGATTAAAATGCACTACATCGTTATAGTGGCTTTATATAATGCAACTTGGAATTAATCGAGCCATGTTCATCTGCGAAGTTGTGGCTAGAGTGTTGGATTTAAATTTTGTTGGAGTCGGTAACATAAAAATTGTTTCCTATTTTTAATTTTTTTTCTATCTGAGCAATATAGGGACTCCGGTGCAGTGGTAAGCATGCCAGCTTTGCTCTCTGAACAAATTAATTCAATTCCGAAACCAAACATCACATTTTAAAAGCGGAAAAAAATATATGTAAGTATATCAGATAATTAGTATAAGTTTCAGCTAATTAGTAAGTACAAAGGGTGAGATGAAAAAACTGCAACAAACTTCAGACTGCTGTAATATTTAAGCTCCTCGTCCGTCAGCTGTTAAAATTATTCCCGTGACAGCTCATTATATTGTTTACAAGCGTACAAAAGTATTTTGGTGAGAATTTTCCAGAAAAAACGTTATTCGTAATGAAATTCAAGCGTGAAACCACAAGTGGCTATCGTTTAAGCACTCCAGAATTTAAAAGTAAATAAATCTTTTGTGTCTCGTACCATAGCTCGTTACCGTGATACTGGTAGCGAAGCCCGACGTCAAGGAAGTGGACGGAAGAAAACAGAAACATCAGCAGAGAAGGTTTGAAAAGTAAAGAAACGATTTGATCGAAACTCGCGTCGCAGTGACAGAAAAAAACGAGTTCGTAAGCTGAACATATCGCAGTATTCCATTCGGCAAATATTGCAAAATGAGCTCGGGGTAAAGCCATTGAAATTCCGAAAAGTGCAAGAACTTACACCGCAACAGGAAGACAATGGACTTAAAAGAGCTAAAGAGGTGCTTCGTTTGGCGAAAGTGGTGAACTGCCGAATTTGGTTTTCTCCGATGAGAAAACATTCGTTGTCCAGCAGTGTGTAAACAAACAAATTGATCGTGTTTACTTACCAAAGAGGTCAGCTGAAAATGTGCACCTTCGGTTGGCCACCAGAACTCAAGCCCCGGCCATGGTAATGGTGTGGTCCGACATAACAGCCATGGCTGCTCTCCGCTCGTATTCATCGACCGTGGCATGAGAATAAATGCCGAATGTTGTCGCGAAAATATTCTGGAGGGTGTATTGAATCCTTGGATACGCAAACATTCTGGCCGCAGACCTTGGACATTCCAACATGACTCAGCACGCGCCTCCCAAGAATGGTTTAAAACTGAGGTTCCTCGCTTCATTTCCAGCGCACAATGGCCACCAAAATCTCCGGATACCAATCCGTTGGACTATTGTGTCTGGAGTATTTTGAAAAGCAAGGTTAGCACTAAAAAATACCAATACCGTTTGAAGGCCATAATTCGTACTAAAGGTGACCAATTCGAATAAATCTAAACTTTATCTAAAATTTGATACTATTAACGTAATTTGGTTGCTTTCATTCAATAAAACAAGTAAGAAAACATTAAGTTCGGCCGGGCCGAACTTTTAATACCTTCCACCTTAGGGTAAACAAGTAAAAAAGCTGTAAGTGCGGCCGGGCCGAACTTTGTATACCCTCCACCATTTGAAAACAAAATCCGTTAAAGATCCTCTTAAAATCCTAAAAATGCCGAATGTAGCCGTATATTAGGGTCTATACGAGGGCGTGGACCTGCATAGGCAACTTTAGTCATAAACTATTACAATATTCAAATGCGAAACTTGAAAAAATCTTTTTATAATGTAGCTAAAATCATCACAAATAAAAATAAAACGTGGACCTGCACTAAAAGTTTTCTGGCATAGGTTATAATATCCACAAATACAAAATTTGAAATAATTCCGGTACATAAAGTCGCTAAAATCATCAAAATACCGAATATCGGGGGTACCGATATATAGAGTCTATACGAAGACTTGGACCTGCACAGACAATTTTCTGTCATAGGATGTAGTATCCATTCCGAACTTCAAATGCGAAATTTGAAACAATTCCGGTAAATAATGTCGCTAAAATCATCAAAATACCGAATATCGGGGGGAGGGGGGGGGGGGGGGGTAACGTTATATGGAAGCTATACGAAGACGTAGAGCTGCACAGACAATTTTCTGTCATAGGCGGTAGTATTCATTACGAACTACCTTACCAAATTTAAAACAGTTCCGGTAAATAATGTCGGCAAAATCATCAAAATGCCGAATATCGGGAGGTACCGTTATATGGGGGCTATACGAAGACGTGGACCTACATGGCCCATTTTCAATACCAAAAGTCCTGCAGACATAATACACATATGAGTAAATTTTTAGCAACTTACTTAATTTCGTTCGGAAGCTAAAGTGATTTCCACAGACAGATAGATGGACGGACATGTAGGACATAGGATTTTATGCTGATCAAGAATATATATACTTTGTGGGGTCTGAAATGTATATTTCGAGGTGTTAGAAACGGAATGACAAACTTAATATACTCTCCATACTATGGTGGGGGTTATAAAAACATTAGAACCCATTATGACCCACAAATACCAATATTTAGACATATTTATTAGAAAATGTACCAACAATCATCAAAATACCGCTATATGGGGCTATACAAAAACGTGGACCTATACATACAATGCTTCGCCAAAGGAGCTAGAACCCATTAGGACCCACAAATAACAATTTTTAGACAAATCCGTGAAAAAGTGTGGCAAAAATCATCAAGATACCAAATATTGGGAGGTACCGTTATATGGAGGCTATACCAAATCGTGGACCTACACATACAATGTTTCGCCACTGGAGCTAAAACTTATTATGACCGACAAATACCAATTTTTAAACAAATCCTCGAAAAAACGTCGTATCGTAAATGTTATGCTGATAATGAATATATATACTTTATGGGGTCTACGACGAATGTTTCGGTATATTACAAACGGAAGTTAATATACCCCCTTTCCAAGGTGGAGGGTATAAAAAATTTAAAAATTATGGCGCAGTGAGAAAGCGATATCAACCACGATGATTTATATCGCTTAGGTGTGACTTCTAAGTGATTTCCGGGATATTTTTTTCTTTCAGGGTACTTAAAGGGCGGTTATGTAGAGATTGTGTGTGTTTAGAAGAATACAACAAGTAAAAAACATTACATTCGGCCGGCTGAACTTTTAATACCCCCTACCAATGGGATTTTTTACCCATTATATAAAAGTACCTAAATTGAAACGTGTTCCACTTTAAACTACAAATACAAGTAAGACAGTTTGGATAATGCAGACAAAAAACACAAAGTGGGTATGGCCGTTATATGTGGGCCATACTAAAAACGGGAATCTATATAAACAATGTTATACTACAAGGATTGTCAAATTCGGATTATCAAAATACCGAATATTGGTGGGTAGCGTTATATGTGCCCTATAGGAAAACGTGGACCTAGATATTCTATATTCTGCCACCGGAGCTAGAACCCATTACAAGCTACAAGTACCAGTTTTCAGACAAATCCATATAAAAATGTGGGTAAAACCATCAAAATATCGAATATCGTGAAAACGTGAACCTATATGTAAAATGTTTCTTCATCGAAGCTAGAACCCATTACGAACTAAAAATATATAAAACAAAGATGTATTGAAAGACAAGTACATTTTATGTAAAAACAAATCCAATTCGTTGCTGAATAAAGCCTCCAATCGGCCAAATTTTCCAAGCAGCAGATTCTCCCCATTTGTTGCAACACCAATCAAATTGCATAAAGGAATGTTGAGCGATTTAAAAAAAATCTTATTTAAATTATAAATTGACACAGCGTCTCTTTGATAACTTCCAGTAAGGCGAAGAACTAATCTTGCATATCAAAATTGGGATCAGAATAAGGCACAACCATGCATTTTACTATGATGTCGGATATTTCATCCCCAGTGAATTTCCTATTTTGCAATGTAAATATTATATTGCTTCTAGCTTTTTTACCAATATAATTAGCAATTTGCGACGATTTTGTCCTTCCACCGTGTACTAGTTTTGCAATTGGAGAATGTGGGCAACATTCCGTTAACGATGCCGGCAAATAGTGCATTAGTATAAACGGTAGATTGTTCGTTATCCAAAACATTACAGGAGTAAACTCGTTAGACTTGACTTGTATTTGTTTTTATTGGCCATTATTAAAAAAATTCTCAATCCTCATATATCTATATCTATATATATATATATAAAAATCAATTGTTGTTTGTTGGTAACGGAATCAGTTGAAAACGGCTGGACCGATTTGCATAATTTTTTGTACAAACGTTCGTCATACCCCGAGTTAGGTTTTTAAAGAAAAAAATATTGACCACACCTACTTTTATGCCCACTATCTTGATTTATCTAAAATCTTTATATTTGCCAGATAATAAAGATATAGGTTTGAAAATTATTACACGAGATACTGTTGACTTTCCCTCCAAACTTAGGAATTTATTTGGGCGCCAGGGAACTGACCACGCATACTTCTAATCTGTCTATCTAAATAAGGAAGTTGTGTTAGTTACTACG